GCCTACACACCAATGCTCACAACAGGTCTGAGCAACCACCCGCTCATGGAGTGACTTTCAGACCCTACAGCAAGATGCCAAAAATACCGTGCTGAGAATTTTCTGGCAGTGTTGGACAGAAATGATTTTTTTTCCAGCCTAAAAATTAGGAAGAAAAGATAAAGTAGGCAGAACGCTTGCCTAGGATTTGCTCTGCTCTTCCCAGCTCCTCAGGACCAGACTGAAGTTAGCAACTGGACCAACCAGATGCTCACTGTCCAGCATATAGTTAATCTCAATTCATTTTGCTTTAAGGACGTGGAGGAGACAAGCCATGATCACAAGAATGACCTGCAGCTCACCTATCAGGGTACCAACACTTTGCAGCCAGCCTAGTGAAATGCAAACATACATGTTTTTGAGAAAAAAGAAAAGAAAATCATATATCACTCTGCCTGGGGCATTTAAAATCCATTTTCTCACCAGCACCATCGACTCCAGGTTTTCTTTCCAGTACTGTGTGTAGCCCTGTTACAAGAGCAGCCTCTGTGTGAGTGGGTGGGACGGGTTCATGGACTGTTGATTCACCATCCTTAAGGTTTTTTTAACATGAAAATTGCCCAACTGAGTCCATTTCCACATCTCTCAGTACAGCACTTTTCCAGAGTGCTCAGCACTCACCAACACAGCCTAAAACCAAAACGAGTCAGAGATGCCAAGCATCTCTAAATCCTACCTCACAATTACTTTGGTATCTGTTGTCTCCAAGGCCCCACAGTTTAAAATTCTTGAAGGTTTGCTGTCTCTCTTCACAAGAAAAGAAAGGATCTGTTCCCTATTTCTCCAAGATAAATGCTACTGTCAAATCTTGGCAGAAAATTAGACTAACAACTACTCTCCCCAAAAAGGTGACTGGGATGAATTCGTGAAGGGGAAACTTCTACTTCAAAGCCAACCATCCCACTCCAGATATGGGGAAGACAAAATATTGACAGATATTTCCAAAGTACACTGTGGGTAGTCAAGCATAACACAGATTTATGGAGCAAACCAGCCTGTCATTGCAGTGCTCCCCTCTAAACACATCCACGTTTCCCTCCTTGTGTCTCTCTGGAAGGGAAATACAACAAATGCTCCTTGGATTTACTTTTTAATGTACCAGTATCAGCCTTTTTTTGATAACATATATACAAAGAAAAGTTTAAAATTATCTTAATTTAAGGACTGACAATGAACTGATTCCAAAGCATACAGGTACATCTTACCTTTACAGATCCTGCATCAAGAACATCACAATTATAAACAGAGAGGGGAAGTCACCATTTGACAATATTGTTTTGGTTTTTTTTACAGTCAATCGTCCCATTTTCTCCCTGGCACAAACCAGGAACAAATTATCACCCAGAGGAGATGGTCCTATAAAATCAAACATGACTGACATGACTGGGCATTTTGTGGTAGGGGAACCCCGGAGGATGCCCTGGGATGCAGGCACAAGGTCCTGCTGCTTTTTCACTGACCTGAGACTGTAGATCCCTTTAAGCTGTCTCCACCTAAAAATACTCCACCAACTATTTCAAATCCTCTGTGTCTTAAAAGACACTGTGCAAAATGTGCACTTCTTAGTGGCTTAGTGAGAGAGAACCAAGGAACCCCAGCAGCTCCAAGCTCTGTGTAAGGAAGATGTGACTCAGAGTGCTGAGACCAGCCCCAAAAGAACAGCCCAAGCTGAAGTGACTGCACACTGCCACAGCCACCTCTTGAGGACAATATGCTGGTTTTCCTGAGGCTCAAGCACCAGGAGGCAAAACAAGAGTGAGATTTGGAAAGAAACGAGGAGGAGAGGCTGCAAAGGAGAAGCAGTGAGTGACAAACCCTCCTGCACCTCGTGATAGCCACTGTGCAGACAGGGGTGGTCCCTGCGACAGCTCTTCTCCTTGCCCTCCAACACCCCCTCCTACTGCAGCTCAGAGGGAGAAGCCTCTTCTGGCAGTTAGAGGCTCCCAGAGATGCAGTTTACAGGCGTCCCAGGGGAGTCCTGAAGTGAGGCATCCCCTCAGAGCTCTTGTTCCAATCTGATTTCCATTCGCAGCACATCCACGGCACTGGGCAATAAGATAAGTCTTAGTGGGGGTGAGACAAATAGGAGCAGATGTTTCCTGTTTCTAGCCTGACTTTCATTTGGTTTCTGTCATTCTGTATCCAGCTTTGGAGAGGGGGTGAGCCGTGAGGCCTAACACTTGTCCTATTGTTTGGGGTTTGGCAAAACCCGAGGAATAAGGTTGCTTGTGGTGTAAGAGAAAAGTGAAACGTGGAGGGGGATGTCTCTGCAAGCAGCAGCAGTGGAAGTTTCAAAAGGTGGGAATCACCCTTATCTGCTAACAAACCTTTTATCAGTGGAGCTGGAAAAGAGATTCCCTTCTCAGCCCAGCTTGGGATCCTCTCTGGTATACCAAAGGGCAAGAGTAACAGCCCAGGCAGTTTTATTTCTAATTTTGTTGCTTTGAGTTGCCCAATTGAGGTTGGTTTCAGCCTTGAAAAACAATTCCAGTGCTCGTAAGAAATGTCAGGGTTCTCCAAAAGCTTTCCTGAGCTTCTCCAAAAGCTTTCCTGAGCTGCGTGGTCTCGGTGGCAGCCTGTGGCAATGGGGTCCCTGAACAACAAGCAAAGCCCTGGTGGCTTTTCCAACAATGGTCACCTACAGGACTTTGTAAGTGCGTGCTGATGGTGTCCTTGCATGCACAGACTCCTGCACGTTGAGCCTGTAACTGGGAATTCCTGTAAATGCGAGTGTTTGACAAGTCAGCACTAACAACATACTGCTGGCTGGAGAGGATTCAGAGGGGAAAAAAATCACTTCATAGCTGTTCCTTGGATGTATACAAGGTAAGCCTGCAACCTGATAATGATAATAAAAAATATAGTACAACTGAAAGATGCATCTTTTTCTGTGTAACAGCACTAGTTTGGACACAGAGTCTCCTGCAGGGATGCAGCAGAAAACCTGAGATTTACACAGGAAGAAGAGGTGCAGCCGTGGGAGTTGTGTCCTGCAGGTCCCTGCTTTGCAGGAGACCTTCCCCTCCCAGCTGCTGTGTGTCTCAGCTGGCATCAAAAGGATGGAAGTAACTCAAAGTGCTTGGCCCTTTAAACCACGTGACAACACACAGGTATTTTTTGTTGCTGATGGTGCTGTAAAAAAATAATCATTTGTCTCACTATGCAGAAGAAAGTGTTTGTTACAGTCACTTAGCCAACAATTAAAGCTCGAGAGACAGGGGCCCACCAAGCGCCCGGGCAGCGAGGTCCTCCCAGGAGAGAGCAGCTTGGCCTGGCACGTGGGTGGGTGCCCTGCACGGGTGGGTGCTCACACAGCAGAGCCAGGAGAGGTCGGTCACGCCGGCCAGGCCACAGCCAGTGAGATTCTGCTTCATTCCTCCAGCCTCCTCGGGAGCCACAAGCGAGCTGGACAGTTTTGGGAGGACCCGTGAGTAGATTTCAATCCTCCGTGGGCCGCAGAGCAGGGGTTGTTCAGCTTCCTGCTACATCGTGGGGCAATGGAAAGGGAAAACAACATACCAGAACGCGGCATCAACGCCCAAACCCCTCTGCTGTAACCTGCTCCCTGGTGGTTGTCTTCCTCAGGGCCTTCCACCCTCAGAGCAGCTCTGCAGCGGGTGCTCCCACCGCCCGGGCCGGCCTCCCAGCCGCCCTCACAGGCTGCCGATGTTGGGGAAGCTCTTCAGCTTCTCAGGAAAGTCATCTTTGTACAGCACGGGGTCGGCACGGTGCTCCACCACCTTGAGAGGCATGGTCCCAAACACAGAGGCAAACTTATTGATGCATTCAGATCTGGTGAAAGGGAAAGCAGTGCAGTTAAGAACCCTGATGAGCGGGCTGCCTATCAGCTCCCACACCACGGGCAGAAACCTTCCCTCTCACGCTGGGAAGTCTCTCAGCCACGCTGGCTACTAATAAATAAAAAGAGAGGACTGCAGAGAGGACTGTAAAGGAGCTGGTGTTTGATTTATCCATTAAATCACAGAGAGGAGCGAGGGGATGCTGGCAGCAGGCACATGTGCACATGGAGGTCAAAGCTTCCCTTCTCCCTCCCCCTGGAATTCCAGGCATTCTTAAAGCAACGTACATGCTGTAAACCAGAACAGATTAACTGCCAACACGGCTCTTAAAGGGCCACTCCTGGGTCAGTGTGGCTCGGAAGGATGGTTGCACAAAAATCAAGCCTTTGTGGAAAAAATGAAAGTAAATATATAAATGTATATATGGGTTTTTGCAGGCTTCTTCAGAAGCTCCATCTTCTCCCACAAAAATAAACACGCCTCAGTGTATAGGCAGTGCTGGCTGCACCCTGATTTAAAAGTGAAGCTGCATTAAAACTATAAAATGAAACCAGGGAGTTTATTTTTGCCTGTCTAAAGAAAGAGATACTGTGCAGTAATAGCACAAGGAAGACTGGCCCAGTGGTGACTCTGTCAGTTTTAATAATCTCAGGTGGCAGCAATGCTGGGGAAGGGAAGAGGCTGGGGAAGGGAAGAGCCGTGTGCTTCAAGAGCCACACAAACAGATGTTTAACCTTGGATCGCTCCTCGCCTCCCTGGTGGAGAGGCACAGGGCTGTGGGAGCAAGGGGGAACCTGGCTCAGCTCAGCAAGCATCAAATCAGCTCTTAAGAACTTCAGGCACCAGGAATTGTGGCAGCAGTCCCCCAGACAGAGACAGCTACAAGGAAACAGGGCACGTTTCTCTGGCTGTTTGCTCTGAAAGCGAGCGGGGTGGAGCTGGAGCCGGGTCCCGAGGTGCTGCAGGGGGTGCCAGGGCTGCCCTCTGCTCGCCCAGCACTGCTCCCCCTCCCCACCCTCCCCGGGGTGAGGGGGTCACCGTGGCTCCGGGATCGTTTTCCTCAGCAGAGCTGGTCAATCACAGCGAGTGAGTGTGGCAGCTCTGTGATGGGGACTGCCCAGCGCCGCCCCCAGGGCGCGTTTGAAGTCCCCGGGCCAGCAGGACTGGCTTTCAGAATCAATTCCTCAGGCTCCCAGCCATCCCCACGTGGCTCCCTCCTCAACCAGAGGGGACTGGAGGACACAGAGCTCAGGCTGTTGAAGTGCTACCTCTCTCCAGAGCTGTTTCAAGCTGCGCTGGCTGTATTTCAGGCCATTTTCTAGCCTGAGAAAAGTGCCACAAAAACTACTTCATATGGAGTGATACCTGAATAAAGTATTTATACAGGTAAATCACAGAATGGTTTGGGTTGGAAGAGACCTTTAAGATATCTAATTCCAGCGCCCCTGCCGTGGCCAGGGACACAGTGCAGGTAAATGCAGGTCATTTCACCTTCTGCTCCCTTCTCAGCTCCTCAAACTTCTTCCTGCCTCCAGGTTCAGCTCTTTGGACTAGCTGTTCAAGGTCTGCCATGACAAGTGAAGCATCTGGGGGGTGAGCTGTGGGCACAGAGAGCAGGAGCTCTGAGTATTTCCTCCAGGAACAACAAGCAGCTTCCAGTGCCTCCACGAGATGCCCAACGTGAGGTACCTTAAACACATCTGATTTTCAGGTAAGGTCACGCTTCCAAATCCTCTGCTACTTCTGGGAGATGTGGCTAACTGTAACCCAGGTTGTGTGTGCTGGAGGAGTCTGGTGGCAGGAAAATCACAGACTTCACAGGCGAGGAGGTAGATGCTCTGTGCCTGTGAGAAGTTTGCACAGCTGCTGGCCCTCACTGGTTTCTGGAACACACGAGTGCTTCTCGTCTAGTGGCTCAAATCAGTAATGACTGGGAGACATTGTCATGGAACAGCTGCCTGGTGGTTGGTGTGAAAGGAATTAGTGATCTCAGCCTGCTGCCTGGTAGGCAGGTGTCCACAGCAGAGCAGCCCCTGTCACTATGCAGCACCCTCAGAGCAAAAGGCAAAGCTCAATGGGTAATGGAGACCAAACTGGCCTCCTCCCTCCAGAGGCTGTACCCCCAGGTCAGAGAGTGCCAAGGTGGAATCCTTCTACAGGCCAGCTTATTGGGGTGGCAAGACCGTTCAAGCACACCAGTATGGTATCTTTAACCACCAAGGAACCACTTCCTTGCTAAAGAAGTGAAAAGTGGCAAAGTCAGCATGTTCTCATCACTCTGGCTGAACCAGAGAAGTTAGGCCTCGGGAAACAAATTCAAAGATTCAAAATAGGCTTTTTTTTGGTAAAAGGAATGTCATAACCAAGCCACAAAGTGCGTTGGAAGGAAAGTCTCCTCTTGCCAAAAATTTCACCTCCTGCACTGAACTAATTCACTTCAACTCCAAAGCCTTTGCTGCTTCTGGACAACGTAAGCCAGAAATGGGGTCTAGAAGATGAAACACACAAAGGCAGGTAGCTGAGAGAAGGCAACATCTCACCCTGTCATGGAGGGAAGGTGTTTTTCTTGGCTGTGTTGACAGTTTTGTGAGTTCCTCCTACCAGAGGCACGTTTGCTCCCAAGCACTGCTGTGTTTTCCCCTGGCCCTGCTGAGGACACGCCGCTGGGGCAGCTGGGGAGCTCAGAGCCCCGTGGCCCCTGGCACACTGGCTGAGCTTCGTGGCTCTCTTACCCTGTTTCCTCTCCTCAAATATCTGTTGGCAGGGTAAATCCCCACTTGCAGCCTTTGGCCAAGCGGTATCCAGCCAGTTTGGCTCTTCAGGGAATGGCTTCCTACTTGGACTTGAACAGATGCTTCCACATCCTAATTAAGAGGCTGCTGTTAACGATGCTGGGGAAGCAGCTCAGCCCTTGGCTCTGTTTGCTGTGTGGGCAGTTGCCCTCCAGGCTGCATTGTACAGAGAACTCCATTTCTTGAGAGCTGTTCAGGTCTATTTTAATGACTGGGCTCCATAACCCTGGGAGCTGAAGTCTCTTGTTTATCTCAGAGAAATCACAGCAGTGTTGGCTTTCCTCTGATTCCCTGTAAACATCTGTCAGGATTGCTCAGAAAGAATCTCTTGGTAGAGAGTTCAGCTGTACCCTCTCTCCTTGGTCTCTGCTGAAGGTATGAAAAGGCCTGACCCAAGTGGTTAGCTCTGTCCTGGGCAGACCTCCACAAGTGACTCCACAAACCTTTGACACTTGGCAATCAGACAGTTGCTGGACACCTCTCTGCTATTTCTGAACCAGCAACCTAACACTAGATGTTGTGTGTGCCCATGACAACCCTGAGAAACTGTTTGGTTCACAAACAGGAGGTTGATCCCTGGATGTTCAGCCAAGACATTAGCCCAGGCTACCTGCTCCCTGTTTCCCAGGGTTGAAATCCCAGGAGTTGGGTGCTCTGGGAAGCTGCAAGTGAAGCTGATAATGGCTCCATGTCTGATATCCTGGGTGTTGTCCTCAGAACCCAGCACTGTGAAGTCACCTGTACCAAGTCAGTCTTTCAGAACATGATAAGGATTCCCCAATGTGTGTACCTTTTCCATTCAGCTTTTCTCCTGACCCTGAAATAGATGGTGTGTTTTTCTAACCCTAACCCATGAGCCAGAAAAGCCTTACTCACTGCTTAGTTAGGAAAATTCCCTCTATTATTTATTACCCATTTAAAATTCATAGCTACCTTAGAATACTTTAAAAAAATTAATACTTTTCAGGTTTTTCAATAACTCCCTTATACTGAAGGTAGATAATAACAGCACAGGGCAAGAAGTTGTTAAGTATAGCATGTCAATATGATACTAATGATCTTCTAAGTGAAGCTTGAACAGACCCAAACTCTACATCCCCTCAGATTTTCTCCTGCACTCAGCCTCAATCCCAGCATGTGCTCCTCTGGCTGGGCAAACAGAGGTACGTGGGTTTGGAGTCAAGCTAACGTGTCCCACAAGCCAGTACTCTCTGCTGTTGGAAACTCCAGAGGAGCAAAGCAACAGTTGAAACATGTTCTCAATAAACTGTCAAGGCTGCTTTACTCTGAGGATACACCAATGAGTACAGACATGGCAGTGTGACCTCTGCCCTGCGCCACAGCGCGCTCCGGAGCAGCGAGCCCTTTTTCATCTTCTGCTTTTAGAGCTTTCACCTTAATGAGAACCCAGCACATGGCTAAAATTCCTCCAGGCTGTTGTAAAGCTACTGGCACGGTCACAGGACAGCCCAAGTGGCTTCAGGTAGCCCAGGCTGTCGGCCGGCGCAGAACTGCTCCACACAGGACAACCCCTTCTGCTTCCCAGCCCATGGTTAATATCTACACATCTTCCAACCCCTTCCTTAAGAAGCCTTCTACAGAGTGATTTTTACCATCTTAATGGGGTTGTGCTTCTGACTGAGCTGTTTGGAAGGCAGCCTGACCCTACGCCCAGCACCACTGTTGTCACTAACCTCTGGTTTGCTCTCCCACGTCCGGCACGATGCTGCGTTAATTGTCCAGCAGCCTGACCCTACCTGTGCTCCTGTGCATGATGGGGTGTGTGCTTCCACAGCACACACACGTACCCTCTCTTCTTGCAAATAAGCCCCCAACCTACTAACCAGCTTTGCCTCCCTTCATTGCACATATTACAGTCCATAAATCTCACTGACACTGTTAAAGGCCGGCACACGGGTACGACACTTGAAATGTGTTGAGTACTGCAGAGGAGGACAGAAACAAGCTCACTGGTAGGATGGGAACTGCTCAGATAACCATTTTATGTCTCTCAGCACACACAGGAAATGGCCTATTTTAAAGGCAGGGTAGATTTGCTTTATTTTGTGGTGTTCTCTCCCTTCACTGTGTCTACCCCTGCTTGTCTACTCCATCAATTCTACACCTCCCAATTCTTTTTCCCAGAGTTTGCAGGAGAGGTGCAACACCCCAAGAAGCCTAAGGGGAAGTGTCTTTGTCAGTCTTAGATCTCAGGTTAATTGCACTTCATAACTAGTATGTACATTTATTGTCAGAGAGCCCTTTTCAAACATGGGTGTTGAACAGCTTTGTAGAAGTGAAGGAACTTTCCCTTATTTTACACACTCAGAAGGGAAGGCAGAGGGAGCTTTAGAGTCTTGGTCAAGGCTAAGGAGCCATTTTACTGGTAAAGCAGGGAATGCAACTCTTAGACTTACCAGCTTTTGGTATTTCACTCTCAACATTCACTTTATTTCCAAAGACACACTTGATTTCAGAATTCTCACAAAAATATAATAATCCTGCTAATGTTAAAAAATGTGATGTGTAACTGTGCAGACAAACGCCCTTCATTAGTGGAAGCAATGTGCTTAGAATCTTTGGAGGAGAGACAATGTACAAAACCAATTCAAATAACATTATTCATCATTTATAGCCTTCTTACTCTTGGGTAAGCTAGCAACTGTCTGGTCCTAAAACAAAAAAACCAGATCTCATACTCACTCCAGTCGAAGCTCCATGGTAAAACAGAGACGTGGTGTTGCTCAAAGTGCTGCCAACAACCTGAATGTCACCTATGTGCCCTATACTCTAAAATTGTGCCCTTCTAAAGGGCTCTCTTGCAGGAGTCCACTTCTCAGTGCCACATCATGCACTGCAGGAAGGGCTCGACGCTGATCAAATCCATGCGACATCCTTTCAAAATCAGCCGTTTACAGCAATACAATCAGTGAGCATTTTTGATCCTAATCTAATGAGACATAGGCTACGATTCCAGGGATCAGAAGAAGGCAATCAGAGGAATAAAGGCTGGCCACTCACCTCTCCACCATGTGTGTCTGGTCCAGTGATAACCCATCAATTGCCGTGCATTCTGGACACTTGAACTTCTTCCGTGGGGTCACCTGTAGAAAGGCACGCCAGATATCATCAGCTATCAACAGAAGGGACATTAATCTCCCTGCACAGAGAGCAGTGCAATACCTCTGAACACGCCTGCAGCGTAAGCTGAGCTGTCTCAGAAAGGGGGGGGAGGTAGAAAGGGGGGAAAAAAAAAACCCTCTCCATTCCTCCATTCAGCTCCATCTGGCCCGGCTGACTGCAAAATTCACAGGGGCCCAATAAAACGGGCTTGGAGGGGTTTTTCCTTCTGTAACTGAAAAGAAGTGGCGATGACAAGCTCCTTAATTCCTGTTTAATGACTGTTTTCTCACTGCCAAGGTCCCTGTATAAACACCATTTGTTCTTGCAGCCATAACAGCGATGAAATATAGCTTCCCATACTTCACCCCAACGTTAATCCAACAGGCGCTCTTTTGCTCGCTCCAGTTAATAGCTGACTGGCAAACTCCTCAAGACTCTCCGAATCGCACAGAGGTGCCAAATTACTCTGCTGTGCCCTCATGCAGCTCAAAAAAAAAAAAAATCTTTTTCAGCAAAAAACAGGCACTTTATCTTCTAAAGGCTTTTCCAGGAGAGGCGGCCGCGGGTCCCGGCAAAGGCTGACGGACAGGCAGGAAAAGGGACCCCGCTAATTGAAGTAACGCCTGGTGGCCTCTAAATCTCATTCCAGGCTGACACGCTCTGAAATGAATGTACAGAGGGAATGTCCAGACCTGAAAACGTGTCGAAACGTGTCAGGAAATTAATTCGGGGATAAAAAGTTCATTTCGAGCTGATCTCGTAATTAACATTCTCGCAATTAACATTCCTATAAATCAGCTGTTGCCAGGCCGGGACAGGGAGAGCTGGGGACAGTTGACAATTTCTTTCCTCTGCTGATGTCCAATAGTTAAAATATCTGTGTGCAGGCGTGTATCTAACACCCAGATATATATATATCTTATTTCAATTATCTCTTTTATAACTCATCTAGATGGCTGAAATAACCAGGAGAAACAACTGGTAAAAAAAAAATCCCTCAGTCAGCATAAAAGTTTTATTGAAAGGGCTTTTCTGCCATGGATGGAGAACAAGACACCATCCTGGGGAGAAAAAGGGAGGTGCAGGGATATACCCAAGCCTGTTAAATACATTTACACGAGTACGTGCATCATGTTTTTAGATTCTGTGAAGCTGAAGTGCAGAAGAATCCCACCTTAATGACGGATTTGCCAGTGACATTTGCCACTAGGAAATTCATGGCGATATCTTCACAGTTCATATGAGCATCCACCCAGTTCTTGATGTCTCCAGGCATTTTGTAGGTGTACAGATAGTTGAAATACTGCAGGATAGAGAGAGAGAAGATCATTTCAAATACAGAAGCAGTCACTGTAAGGCTCTAAACACTTCAGCCAGCGAACAGCAGGATGGATTGTGGGCAGGCTGTGATGCTGCCCTCAGCCAAGGATGACTTTAGCAGATAGAAAATCATTTTTCAGTGCTTAATGGCATAATTACTCCTTTCCTGACCATAAAGTTCTTGACAGTCACTTTCCTTCAACTGCTAGCTACAAAGCTACACTCACAGCAAGATTTGCTGTGTAGTTACAGGTCATGTGAACTGGCAAGAGTTCTCTGAGCTCAGGAAGGTAACAGCTTTACTTTACAGGTGGGGACAAATTAGCTCTTTTCACAATTGAAAGAGGCTTAAGGGAAAGTTTCCAATTGGTTCTCTGATTGTTGCAGAAAGCATTATCATCGTTGAAGATGTCCCAGCTTGCTGCAGTGGGGTTGGACTAGGTGACCTTTAAAGGTCCCTTCCAACCCAAACTGGTCTGTGATTCTATTCCACAGCACCACAAAACACTCCCAGATCAATGACAGACACACACAGCTCACTAAAATAGGTTTATGCCACCCATGAGTATAGCACAAGTTGTATCACACAGAATCCCAGCATGGTGGGGGCTGGAAGGGACCTCTGGAGATCATCTTGTTCAATCCCCTGCTCCAGCAGGTCACCCAAAGCAGGATCACATCCAGGAGGGTTTGGAACCTCTCCAGAGAGGGAGACCCCACAGCCTCTCTGGGCAGCTGCTCCAGGCTCTGCCACCCTCACAGGAAAGTCTTTCCTCCTGTTTAGCTGGAGCCTCCTGGGTTCTGCCCCTTGTCCTGCCTCTGAGCACCACTGACAAGAGTCTGGCCCATCCTCTTGACCCCCCCCTTCAGGTATTGATGAGCACTGATCAGATCCCCTCTTATCATGCCATTACCTTGTGATAAAACGCTGCCCCCGTGAGCACCATGGAGACTTCATTGGTCCATTCAGACTCATACTTCCACTTGTTCATCTCGTGGTCCCAGAGGTGCAGGCGGCCGGGGTACCCCACCAGCCTGTCGGGGAACTCACGCCAGACCTGCGGACACAAAGCCAGGACATGCTGCTGGCCAGCCCACGCTGGGGCTGCAGCTCCTCTGCCTTGGGAGGGCAGGGGCACAAAGAGCACTTCCACTCCCCTCAACTCCAGTTCTTGGAGCAGGAAGCTGTCTGGCAGATGTATGGAAAAGGTCAAGCTTGCTCTGGAAGGACCTCCCACTCAGGGAAGCCACAGCCCCAAGCAGAAGGGCTCTAAAACCATCCTGCCTTGTCTCAGAGAAATACAACCAACTACTCCAGAAGGCTTTCACAGTAACTAGACCCAAGCATGATTAAAAGGGAACTTTTGATGTTAACTTCAGCAGATACGGCTACAACCTGACGACTTGCACAGCTGGCTCTGGATCTAACCAACCTGCTTCCCTCTGACAGGAGCAGCCTTAAAACAGGCTTATATTTTAATATTTCTGGTATTCTTTAGTGGGTGCTTGGAAGGATCTACTGCTACATGGAAGGCCTCTTTGCCCTTGACTTGTTCCAGACAGCTGGATACAATCAAGACCCCATCCCTGTCACTCCATCTGTTATTTTGTAGCTGACTGCAGGATCAAACACAGTAGAGCAGAACAAGAGGGGCATCATTAACACAACCCCAGTTCTCCACACGGCTGGCCACGTTAAATAATGGGCACTGTTTGGGTTGGGAAAAGAGGGAGAAAAGATTAACATCATTTAGAAGGGTCTGAATGGTATTTGCTTCCTAAATACACAGTCTTTTTGCTGATCAGTAAGGAAGTTACTATATATCTGCACTATTTACAGACAAATTACTCCCAAATCGTCCCTCAACCCAAATAACTGCTAGGTTTGTTGGAAAACTACACACCTTGACTCTTGGACACACCGTGTTATGCCATGAGAGCTTTTGTTTCAGGTTGGTAGCACAGAAATAAACAACTGACCCTCAGTTTGATTGCTGTACACGTGATGACCACCAGCAAAACATCTCACAACTCCCCCACGACCACCTGATGAGCACAGCTCTCTCCTCTGCACAACAGGCAAGGGGAACCTGCAGCTGGATCTACAGTAAGAAGTGCTCCCTGGAATCCCTGCCCACCCCACCTCGTCAGCAGCTACTTCTGGCCACTTTTGATGTTCAGCTGGGATGATGCAGTTGGACTATGATGACTCTACACAAGTATTTTGTCCAAGTAAAGATGATAAAACAATCAGCTTTCTGTCACTGCTCCTGTACCTGCATCTCTGTGCCTCTGCCTTGCTAGAGGTGCCTTCTCACCTGTACATCTCAGCACATTTCAGTGCTTCAGAATCCCATGATGGGAGCAGTTATTATTTCAAACATACAGAGGAGGAAACCTGCCAAAAATCAGACAGGAGACAAGAATGGGAACCAGACCTTGGGACTTGCACTCTATCCAGGAATCAATCTCTCTAGACAGTTCCAGGGCACAAGTGCTGGGATAGTATTTAGACAGGACAATGCTCTAACACAGTGAGCTCCTGACAGCAGAGATGATTTGGAACCCAAAGAAGAGAATCCAGAGGATGTTGTTACAAGCTGGGGCCATCAGTTTATTAAAAAGCCCCTAGATTTTTGGCAGGGCCGCCCGCGAGGGGGCGGGAGGGGCCCTTAAAAAACCTTAGTTTTTGGGCAGCCCAGCCAGTGAGGGCTGGAGATGGCTCTTTGGACACGAGGTCAAAAACCTTAAGAAAGAACCCAAACCCAAAGGTGTGGACACTCCCTCTCCCAGATTTTTTTTCCTCATTCTCCAGAACTCAAAAATTTAATGACAAAAAGGACTGAATTTTTTTTCAAACCTGAATGCCCACCCCCCAGCTGTTGGGTGGCACCAGCACAGATGTTACTGAGGCTCAATATGGGATCTGACAGAACCCTGCAGATCTCCTCCCTGTGGGGCTAAGGATTCTTGTGGAGGGGATGGCACGTGTGCTGGAGGCAGCTGAAACAAAGGCTCAGCTCAGCCACTGCAGCATCTCCACACCACAGAACTGGAGATTCCTCTCCCTCCCAGTCTGTGCCCTCAGTGTCACCTTGGAGAGCCTGAGCAACAGGCAAGAAAAGCCAACTGTGGTGCACATTACTCCTGCAGATGTCCTTGTGTCCCTGTAAAGCTCAACCCTGCCCCAATTCTGGCCTCTGAAAATGGTCAGTTTGAGGCATCTGAACAAAAACTTGGTTATTTCAAACAATGATTCCTTTTTCACGTAACTCTACCCAAGTCCAAGGGGAAGTTTGGCTTTTTCATCATGTTCCTCACTCTCTCATTCAGTGGTAACTCCTGGCCAGGCTCCAACTAGCTGCATCCAGCTCACTGCCCAAATCCATATGTAGGTTTTGTGCCAAAATTAATATATACAGCTCCTGCTTATAAGGAAGCTTTCAGGATAAACAGAGTGGTAATGGTTCTTAGACTGCTCTCTAGTTTGTGCTGCTGTCCATTTCCTTGTTTGATGGTTGCCTGTGATTTATTACCCTGCTAGGAACCCACTCCATTCTAGCCAGGGATCTGATCAGCTTCCTGAGGCTAGAGAGGGCTGGCCTGGCTGAATCCTGCTGAGGGGCAGAGCCAAGGAGAGCCAGGCTGCCAAGCCAGGAGGAGGCAGGGCTCTGCAGACAGCCCTGTCCCAAGGACTCTGCTAGGCAACCTCCAGGAGAAATGCTTTTTGGATGAAGCATCTCCCAGAGGAGAAGTCCAGCAGAACTTCTGACTTGGTAGTTTGACTAAAAACTTTTGTAAGAGACATGGAAAAAAAATGATGGTAATTCTGCTTCCAAGGCATGAGCTGCCTAGCTCCAAAATTCTGTGGCATGAGAAGAGCTGCCACCAATCTCGTGTAGCCAGAAGGACACAGAAGCACTTCCTGTTCCAGAATACACTCCAGTATTTACCCATTAAATTTATTTGCCTGTATTAAGTCATATGCAGCTTCAGGAACTGGCTAATTACAACTAGAAAAATCTTAAAATCCAATAAACAAAAATAACTGGTGTTTCCAAAGCTACCATGGAAACCTAGGAATGAAACACTGACTCCCCTCTACAAATGGGAGAACCCCCAAGGAATCCAGACACCTCCTCTCCTCCCAGACCTCCAGCTACTCCCAGTTCTCCCTGGGTCCTCAAAGGGATGGCTTGTGCTGCTGCTAAGAAACAGAAAGGGGAGTGATGCTTCACCTGCACAGTCTGCAAGATAAATCTGATTTGAAGAAGAGCTTTGAACAGGGCCACCAGTGGGTAAGTCTTTGGTAAGCAGAGCTCTATTATTCCTCCTGCAAAGGACTGCTGAAAAATACTTTTAATGGTCAAAATGGGTATGGAAAAGAATTCTTCTAAGGCAGGCATTCAAACTTGGTGATATTATTACATGCAGTTCTTCAGAGATTCAATTTTTTAAGATATGCCAGAGACACAAAGCTCTAAGACAGAGTAAGAGCATCTACCAGCAGAAGGCAAAAAGCTTCCAGCAGAAAACCCCACAAACTCAGCAATGCAGCAAACAACATTTTCAGTGAACAGAACCCCCAGACTCAAAGCAATAATCCCCATCTCAATTATTTTTAGTATTGCTGTAATAAAAATACTTGGCCTTTGTAAGGACAAAGTGCTGTCTGTGTACATAACAAGAAATCTTCATGGAGGCTGTACCTGGAGACTGTTCTGGCCCCTTTTTGAGGTGATAGTGATGCTGAACCATCTGCCCCAAGGCCAGCCCAGGCTCAGGTTCAACCACTTCCAGAGCACACAACGGTTCTGCTTTCATTTTTTCAAGATTATCACCATCTAAATACTCCCTCCTCTTCTTGGGACTCCTCGAGTCTCCTTTTGTGAACAACAAAGATCAACAAAGCAGGCAAAAAGCTGTCTGGCCTTAATAGCTTTTTTTTTTTGCCCCAGTGCCCAGTCACGCCTGTGATTTCATCATGGAGCTGAAGAGAAATGCTTTCTTCAGAGTCAGAATGTCCTGAGTATTCTTCTGCTGCCTTAAGACAGCAGCACACAGGGACCATTTTTCTGCTTGCTCCAATAGATTTACGCCATGTCATAAATCACTTCACCCTAATAGCTCACTTTTAACAAGTAAAAAATGCCTGACACTTTGAGTGTTACTATAATTTTTTATGGCTGAAAGTGTACAGAGATCAAAGTTTCCTGTTTTTTTTCAGGCTTGCTCTATACATTCAGACAAGTCTGTGACAGGGGGGGTTTTGCCACATGTTTAAATACAAAGTCTTGAGGATGTCAGGAGGAGAAAAGAAAATGACTGAATGTCACGTTTCCAGCCCTTCTTACGACGAAAGCAGAAGCAGACACACTTGAGGAGAAAACTCTCCAGTAACATTATATGCTGCTACTGTTCCCTCTGGATTCCCCTGCAAATGAGTCAAGAGCTTGAGAGATACTTTTCTGGTAACACACATAAACAGATAAATAAATTACCACAGGCTGAGGACAATTTAAACATCTGGGAGCCAGCTCAGGCCTGTCAAGCAAGTCACAGACACTCAAGGACAGGAAAGATCAATCTTCAGCCCCTGATTTCCGTGCCAGAAAGCAGGAGCTACATCACCCATCCTCTACAGGAGGAAAAGGGTGTATTTATAAAACAATCTGCTGTGTACCAGCATTCAAAGACATTTCTATTCATTTATTTTACAGGAGGGGGAAAAAAAAGGCAATTTCAAACTCTAACAATCTGAAGTACCCCTGGGTTTGTCTCAACTCTCTGCTCAGAAAGGGATTTTCATTTCCCACCGCTGTGGCTGTGCAGCAAGCTGAATTCCCAGAATCAGAAAGGAATAGGATTTAGAACAGAACACAAAACACTGCACAAGGAATAGTTTTCAGTCTGCCAGACTAAACAGCCTTGGGTCCAAACAGTAACATTCACACACTGAACACAAGGGCTGTTCCTCAGTCCCTCAACCCCTGCATCTGGCCCACAGAAGGCTGGTCAGTCAGTCCAACAGCTAGACCTGGGGACGAAGAGCTGCAAGTCCCAGCTCCCACCCAACCACACTGACCACAGGGAAATTCACCTCCACTTTTCTCTGCCTCATGGGGTTTTTTCCCCTCCCTGAGGATAACCCTTTCCAGCCTAAGTGACCGGACTCAGCAGATGTGAAGTCACAGATGTTCTCCATTGAGGGTGTTTAAATGAAGGCTTCAGAGACACGAGCACCACAGCTCTACTTCTCATCACTTCTGGCTGACACAGCTGAAGCTCAGCCCCAGCCTGAAGCTCTGCTTCGAAGCCCTCCAAGCCTGCCCTGCCAGTAGCAGAGATTCATTTGGAACTACTTAGGCTGCCACTTAGGGGTTTAGACAACTTGTATTGACTTTGAAGCAGCCTGATGAAAAGGAGACTGAGGCTGGGGCTGGAGCCAGGGCCTGTGCAGCATGCACAATCCTTCATCCAGCAGCTCACCCCCAGAACTCAGAGCTATAGGCACCAGCACAGACCAAAGGCAGCCAGCTGGCAGAGCTGCCAGCTCCTGACTGCTCTGCTGGTGCAGCACAGTGCTAAAACCTGCAGTGCAGGCAGCAGAGGACGTGGCCAAAAACCCCCTTCCTTCAGCTGTCTTCTTTCCACGTGTGCCACTTCACAGACTAACGTGCCACTCCTAGCCTGGCAAGGGAAGAGTGTCCCTCCTGGAGACACACGTGGTGGTTTAAACCTCTGCCTCCACTACTCAGCACCTCTGTTATTACATCAGCACAGCTCCACTGCCACATGTCATGCCTCGAGTCCAAGAGCTCCTTGCTTGCTAACAGCCTCTTCCACCTGAGAGGAAGGAGCTGTACTTCAAACAACCATAGAATGGGTTTGGGTGGGAAGGGACCTTCCAAGGTCACCCAGTCCAGCCCCCTGCAGGGACAGGGACATCTGCAGCTAGAGCAGGGTGCTCAGAGCCCCGGCCAACCTCCCCTGGGATGGTGCCAGGGGTGGGGCAGCGACCACCTCTCTGGGCAACCTGGGCCAGGGGCTCAACACCCTCAGCATCCAAAATTTCTTCCTTCTCTCCAGCCTCACTCTCCCTCTTTTAGTTCCAAACCATCCCCCCTTGTCCTGTCACAACAGGCCCTGCTACAAACTCTGTCCCCATCTTTCTTATATTTACCACATATGTACTCATGTTAAAGAAATACTTCCAACTTCTCTTAAAAAATATCTTCTGCTGTTAACAGTTACACTTAAAATTGTTAAAAGTGAGACAACTATCACATCTAGTTTGCTTTCTACCCTTTAGAAAAAGTGATTTTCTTTATTTCACTCTATTTAGGTAATAGTTTCACGTTCTGGCTCTCAGGTATGAAGCCCAGTGTTGTTTTGCTCTTGATATTGCAGGTACAGGTAAGACTGAATGATTCCAGCCTTCCTTATATGTTTAAAAAGATGGAAAACCTTTAGACTTCTTTCCTTAAATCCTTCTACTGTTTCTGATTTATTTACAAGCATAGCATGTTTGTCTTACACACACACACATGTAACAGTGCTGTCAGGTAATGGACCCTGTCATACACCCCAACAGGACCAGCTTGCTCAGCTCAAAGTGCTGGAAGGAAGACAAGAGTGCTGCTTTCAGAGTGTGCCCATGCAGACTGTCACCTCTCTGCACGGCCACAGGGACCCACTGGCACAGACTTGGTCAGTACCTCCCTCAAGAGCAGCTGTTGAAGCTTTGCCATTCTGAGCAGGTCACACGTGTCCCTCCCTGACATTCTTCAGTCCCTCTTTTCACTGCACTCCACCTTACTCTGGCATGTCCTCAAGAGGCCTCCCCTGTCCCCAACACTTAATCTCTGAAACTTGTCTTGTCCATCAAGACACATGAACTTGGGCGGCGCTTGGGGTTTGGCTGAAAACCTTTTGAAACTGCTAAGAACACAATTTGCTCTCCAGGCTGGTCCTGTTCTACCTATTACACAACACTTTCTGGGCTCTCTTGGCATTACTGCACCAGTTACCAAACATTTTCTGTTAGCTGGCATTTTTTTTTTCCCAAAATGACTATCTGTAAAAACATCTCAGTCAGCACTGAACTGTTACAGCCAGGAGAGACACCACAGACTGAATCAGCAGACAGAGCAGCGACTCCTCCACGCCCTACACACAGGCAGTGCTGAAGGGGATGCCTAAGAGGCTGGAGGAAACCAATTCTCTCACCTCATAGCCAAACTGGAGTTCATCTGAGGTCAGCATGATGATATCATCGTCGATAGCCAACACTGCTTCCGTCTCGATCTCGTCGTAGGGGAAGAAGCGGTTACTGAGCTTGTTTTCTGCAGTCCTGACAACTTTCAGGGGAACACGAATCTTTGGCCAGAGGGAATCTATAAGAAAAACAAGAAAAAAATATAATTCAATATTATACTTCCATTCTGAACAAGTCTGCACCTCTGTCTTAGCTTCTCTTTACTCTTTTTTTCCTTCATATCTTAAACAAAAGCTCCTTAATGGCCAATAGACACCTGAGTTTCAGTGAGGGGAACATATTAAGGAGAGAGCTCAGCTACATTCCCCTCTTCTGTTGCCTTTGGAGAAAAATAAATGTTATTATACCAATTAAAAACCTAGACACACCTAAAGTGTTGATCAAAAGTGTTGATCCAAGAAAAAGATATAATTCAATGTTATACTTCAATTCTGAACAAGTCTGCACTTCTGCCTTAGCTTCTCTTTACTCTTTTTCCTTCAAGTCTTAAACAAAAGCTCCTTAATGGCCAATTGACACCTGAGTTTCAGTGAGGGGAACATATTAAGGGGAGAGAGCTCAGCTACATTCCCCTCTTCTGTTGCCTTTGGAGAAAAATAAATGTTATTATACCAATTAAAAACCTAGACACACCTAAAGTGTTGATCAAAAGTGTTGATCATTATTGACAGCTGAGGAGTAGACTGTGTATGAGTCACTTCTTTCACCTTTAAAGACCTAAGTCACAGTGATAATTTTAGCTAGATAAATCCAAAAGGATCCTCCTCGTGCCCTAAAGCATCCCTGCAAGTAGAACTGAGCACTGCAGTCCATCACCACGAAAATTCAGGAGTCAAATGGTGCTTTAACAAAACTGGATGGAATTCGCTCTACAACAGGATTAGATTTCCATTTCTTTCAACAGGGTTGGGTTCTATCATAGAAGATGCACTTGAGGTAGAAGTCACTGGATTGAAAGGAAAGGTCATGTGGTGACTCGTGACATCTCAGCCCAGATGATCTTTACCTGCTGCCTCAAACTCCAGCAATCTATGAACTGTGAGGGTGTTGACTGTCATCAGGATGAGAACAGGAAGCTCAAACATGAACTGCTCAGGTGTGGGGAGTGAACACAGAAATTCAGGAAAGAGCACAAAGAGGTGAGATCATTGCTTGTGTTTTTTTTGAGAATGAAAAGGTGGCAGCAAAATGGGAGGCAATGAAAAAAATCTACCCTAAGGGCTGAGATAGGAGAAATCCTAACACCAGAAAATGGTTTTAGTTTGTCAATAGTAATACAGAATCAAATTCTGGAAGCAGAAGGATCTGAAGAATGTTGGAAGACAGACATCATCAAAAATAAATGGGCTATGACATGATCCAACTATGCCCACACACTTCCAGCTCCACAATAACCAGAATCAGCTCTGCTTCCAAGCCAGCTCTGCCCTCTCTCCACCACCCCTCTGTTGCACTAGGATGAGTTACTACCAGAGAGGAGGAGGAGCTGCTTCATTCCCACGTGTGTGAGTAAAACTTGCTCCCAGAAGCAGCACCCACTCCCCATTGCCACCGAGCCTCTGGGGCTTCACAGCTCACACAGCACTCAAATCACCAAGCTGCACAATGCTGGAAGACACCAGGGTCCAAACAACTTCCCTGGGAAAACAGAGCTGGATTTCCAAACCATGGCAAGAAGTTGTGTTTTAGAAAGGATTGGCATCCACGGGTGGCCAAAAGCAAGGAGGAGAAACACACAGTCCTGTTTACTGGCAAAAGATCAATTGCAGTTTCCTACCCTGAGTTTTTTTTATTGTGAGAATGAAAAAGTAGCTGTAAGATCTACCTTGATCTGGGTGGTCTTGTAGAGCATGGCCTTTATTTGACATGTCTGCAGGTTCCTGTGCACCTTCCCTCAACTCTTTTCCTTCTAGTAGAAGGCAAGAGGCATCAGCCCAAGCACTGACAGAGGCTGGAATGGCCTGTGATGATGGTTAGCAGCCAGTTGGAAGGGCTCAGGCACATTGTGATGGGCTCCAGTGGAAGCCATGGTCAGCCAGCAGTTGAGATACAGCAAGTGCCTTGGGGCCATGACAAAAGTGTTCCAGTCCATGGATTCCAATTAGAGTGAAATGAGCTCATTTTATTCTCAGCATTGTAAGGTCTCTGAAATCCCCTCCTAGAACAATAATCTGAAACAATGATTCCAGTAGGACACCAATGAAGTTCCAAAATGTTCATCTCACCAGTCACCATAACCTCAGAAGGCACTTACACCCAATGGCTTGAACCCCTTCTTGCTCTTAGAACTCTGGAGTCAACTCCCAGCCTTCCCACTGGTTTACCACACCACCTGCAAGGATCTGTATTTCTCAGGCACAGGTACTTCACAAAGACACACAGAAGTGTTTTGGTTGGAAGAGATCTTTAAGGTCATCAAATCCAACTGTTCCCCAGCACTGCCAGGTCCCCACTGCCCCGTGTCCCTCACCCCACATCTCCATGGCTTGGGAACCTCTCCAGGGGTGGGGACTCCACCCCTGCCCTGGGCAGCCTGGCACAGCCCTGGACAACCCTTCTGGGGAAGACTGTTTTCCTCACGTCCAACCTAAACCTTCCCTGGCACAACCTGAGGCCATTTCCTCTTGTCCTATTGTTTGCTCCTTGGGAGAAGAGACCAACCACCACATGGCTCCAACCTCCTGCCAGAGACTTGTCTCCCCTCAGCCTCCTTTTATCCAGGCTCAACAAGCCCATTCCATTAATGTTCTCTATTAATTGCACACCAACTGAAACACAAAGACGACTCTTGCAGTAACACCCACAAGCTCCACAGTCTGTGTCTTATTCCAAGTTTATCAGCTGCTTAGCTCCAGGAACCACTGCCAATAAAACTACACAGAAACTACATGTTCTTTAAAATATCCTGCTCATTTTTACAAACCTGAATCTAAAAAGGAACCACACACAGCTTTAGTTTCTTGTGTACTTACTGACAGTAATTGCACTTCTGCATTTTTACACCATTCATGGGGTGGACAAAATGCTTTCTTCAGTTGTCTGAAACAAATGTGATGAAACATGAGTGGAAACTTCTATCACAGACCATTTTCTTGGATTTCAGAAAGAGCAACTTAGACAACTCCCAATGAAAGGGCAGAAGTGTTTGGCTGATGAAGAAAATGAAACATCCTGTCTACGCAAACATTCCCAGCAGCAGCACTTGGACCACAATGTTTGTTTTAATGGATGCAGAGTGAGTGAGGGGGGAAAAAAAAAAAAAAAAGTATTTTTCCTGTAATATTTCAAAGCTTTCAGTCCTTTTATTAATATTACACACGCAGTCCTGGGCCTGCTGACAGCACTGCTGGGTTGACAGGCTTCTTACAGACCCCTGTGTGGCTGAGCATATAGACAAACCCCAGGCAGAGGCACAGAGCTGAGATCACCTCCCCTAAATCCAGAGAGCACTCATGGCCAGCAAGAGGATTCCATAAACCTTTAAGGTTCCAGATTAAAATCATTATAGTACATTATACTTTTCTCTCTGCTCTTCCACAGAGAAGATCCAGAAGTTCTCCCACCACAAGCTCTCTGAACACTCCAGAGCAGCTGCACAAGCCACTTGAGCTGCTCACAGATTTGCCTCTTGCAGCTGTATTTTTGTTCCCTAACACACTGCTCCCATTTTGAGTTCAAAACCAAAAGATTAGATCCCTGGTTTCCAGCCTCGTGGATATAACCAGTCAATCCACCATTTGTACATGTCTTGAAGGCACTCAGATTAAATTAAACCTATAAAAAGCCATTTCCCTTATTATTTATATTTCAATAGATTGATATATTACATGGATTTTAAAGTAGACATTAACTTTCTAATTAGAAATCTTGATATCCACCTAATAATAACACCTCTAGTGCTACTCACAGAGCAGGTTTAAATAGAGGTCTCAAAGCACTTTAAGCCCATGCTGCTGTGTCCATTTTAGGGACATGGAAACTGAGGTAGAGTAAAAACTGAGTTGCCCCCACTCAGCAGGGAGCCAAAGTTGTGTCTGGTCAGCACCCAGCTACAAGAACTGTCTGCCCAAGAAAAGGAACTGAAAGGCTGGGTTCAGTGCTCATTAATTGTTAATATTTCTCAAGAATCCCGTGAGACAGACCCGTGACATTGGTCACTTCAGCTTGCACGAGTCACCTTGTGCTTCCTTCACAGAAAGGGCATTTCTGGAGGGCTCTTCTCCTAGGGAACAAGCAACAGGACAAGAGGAAATGGCCTCAAGTTGTGCCAGGGGTTTAGGTTGGACATAAAGAGATATTTTTTATTCACAAGGGTTGCCCAGGGCTGTGCCAGGCTGCCCAGGGCAGGGGTGGAGTCCCCACCCCTGGAGGGGTTCCCAAGCCATGGAGATGTGGTGTGAGGGACATGGTTAGTACTTCAAAACCTTCCATGCCTAGGGACAGATTCCCTCTATTCCCATCCATATTGCTTTGAAAGGAATGACATTTTCAGCTCTAATGTTTTCCTGGTGTCAGAGGCAAGGAAGGAGCAGCCACATGGTGCAGTTGTGTGGCACTAGGCCAGCTCCCTCTCAGGAGGCCCAAGCCCAACCCTCAATCACCACACGTGGCTGAGGGATGCAGCTCCTCTGCCCTGCCCACTTCCACGTGCAAAACACAACACACACACACACAGAGGAGGCTGCAAGGATGAAAGTCAAGATCTGCTTCTGTCCTGAGGCGTGGCCCTTAGGTGGGAAGGGCCAGGAACTGGAGCCCTCCCTGCTCTGGGAGGTCAAGCACCTCAGCTTTCCTATAACCAATTAAAAGTGAATAGCCATAAAAGTGCAGATCCTACTGTAGGGTAATAAACCAGACTTTATCAGTGACAGTGGTGCACATTACAAACTTCAAACTCATTCCTAGCTCTAATCCATCAGAAACTTCCTGGCTTTAACAGGCTATAAACAGCAGAGGCTTTGAAGTCCAAGGATTAGGATCACTAACAGACAGCCCCAACGAGAGACTGGCTGGAGAGCCAAGTGGAATGCCCTGCATGGATCTGGAATAAACCCAGTTAATTTAATCACACTGACCTCTCTCTAGCCATAGGCCAAGAGATTACAATGCTTATAATGGCAATAAAGGGACAAGGGACACTCCAAACAAATAGTTATTTGCTTTAATGCAATGCTTAGGCTAATGTAAGGGCAAAACTGCCTCCAACTGGGCTCTCAAATCCCCAAATCTCCTCAAATCTACAGGCTGCCTTTTTTTTAAAACTGTTTATGACAGTGGCAATCAAGGCAGAAAAAAAAATAGTTTAATTTTCAAGAATTTCTACATGCAAGATTTACCAAAAAAGATCACTCTAACAACTTATTTCCTTTGACTCCCCTGTATCTGAGACTCACTCCAGGGAAATGTGGAAGCTACAGAGAAGAACCCCCAGTACAGCATTTCCTCTGAACATGTATTCCTAGAAGGCCACACTTCTTGTCCCACCAAATCACCACATTTTCTGATGAGAATGACAGATTTGCATGGACAGCACGTGGGAAACAAAATCATTTACAGCACTTAAAAATGAGAAGAGGAGGCTCTAATTGCCCAGAATTATGCTCAGGATTTCAGCACCAGTGTTCAGAACTTGCAAGCAGCTCAGCCAAGGAAGGACTAAGCATGGAAATAAAAGGAGGAGCACTGGAGCTGCTGTCTGCACTGGAGAGGAACAGCAAGCCCAGCTCCCTTCCTTTACGTGGGGCAGTGCCTCCTGCCTGTCCCACTTACTGTGGCAGCAGGGCAGAGAGGGGATCCTGCCCCTCTGCCAGCTCTGGGAGCCCCCCCTGCAGTGCTGGGGCAGCTCTGGAGTCCTCAGCACAGCAGAGCCAGGGAGCTGCTGGAGCGGGGCCAGAGGAGCCCCAGCAATGCCCCGAGGGGGGCACCCCTCTGCTGGGAGCCCAGCAGGAGAGAGTTGGGCTGGGGCAGCTGAGAGGAGAAGGCTCCAGCTGGGGAGACCTGCTGGGGGCTGCCAGGGGCCTGGCACAAAGCTGGGGACAGAGTTTTGAGCAGGGACCCTTGGGACAGGACAAGGGGGGGTGGTTTGAAACTAAAAGAGGGAGATTCAGACCAGACAGAAAAGAAATTTTTTTCAGAGCAGGTGGTGAGCCCCAGGCCCAGGCTGCCCAGAGAGGTGGTCACTGCCCCATCCCTGGCACCATCCCAGGGGAGGTTGGCCGGGGCTCTGAGCACCCTGCTCTAGCTGCAGATGTCCCTGTCCCTGCAGGGGGCTGGACTGGGTGACCTTGTAAAGCTCCCTTCCCACCCAACCCACTCCGTGATTCCAGAGTGATTTTCTAACTAAGGTCAGCCCCATCAGGACCTACACTGCCCACTGAGGACCTGGGAGAAGGGTCAGAGGAGCATGGTCTCATGAGGAAGACCACTCAGGGTAGGGAAGAAGGGAACTGGTGGGAGACAGAGCAGCCATGGTGTGTGTGGTGGCATCACGTGGAAGCAGACAGAGGAACATGGGACTAGGATCTTGGGTCAGGCAGCAAGGAGCACATATGTCTGGTCTTACTGGGCTAGCTGTGGTGTTTCCACAAGATATTCTGGTGCTGTGGGAACTTTCAGACACCCAAAATGTCCCAAGGTTTCATTTCATCAGTCAAAACATCCATTTGTTTTAAAGCTCTGAGCACTCAAATGACTTTGAAGCACGTCTGCCCCAGGAAGCAGCCCAGCAGAAGCAGCACTCCCTGGGAGGAGTGAACCCAGGGAAACAAAGGCAAGCACTGACTAATAGAGGGGTGTCTCCATATCACTCCCCAAAACAAAGTGAAGGACAGAAATACCTCTGTAACTACTGCATCTGCTGCCTTTGACTCAGCAGTCAGCAGCACAACCACTGCTGTGTTTTTTCTTCTTTTAGTCTGCTCTGGCTTTTCTCATTTTGCTTTCCAAAATATTGCCACAAAATAAACTCAAAATTATTATTTTCAAAGTAACCACAAAATACTTTTCAAAGACATATTAATGGAGGGGAAGAGAGGCCATTCTGTAACAAGTCCAACCAGAGAGGCCACCCCTCAGTGTCACCCTCCTCCTCCACCACACCCACCACGGGGTCTCACCTTCTGGTGGGTTCTTGTTCTGGTTGTTCCAGACCACCAGGAGCTTGGAGAGGCTGGGCACTTTGGACACCTCTGTGATGACCCTGAAGAGGCTCTCCACCCGGTCGTAGGTCAGCACAATGGCTGTGAAACCCTGGGACTGGGGTGGGATCAGGGGAAGGAACAGAGGGTTGTTCACACTGCTCCATTTCTGTGAAGGAAAACAAGGAAACAGGAAAACAATTGAAGCCTTATCACTGCAGGGAGTAATTATTACAGTAAGGAGTAAATCATGCAGCCAGGACCCAGCAGTCAGCTCTGGCACCTGCTCAGCTTGGGCAGGATGATTCTTTAGTTCTGGCAACACTGGACCCCAGCAATTCCACAAAGCCTTTATTCCAGTCCCTTTCTTAAATTCCATTTTCTGCCTAGCTGTAAGGCTGCAAGCAAGAGGGGTGTGAGGTACAAAATCAGGTGGAAGAAGCAGACAGATTTGTGGAGAAGGAAAACCTAGGTGAATCCTGAACCCAGGGAGCATGACTCAACTCTCATTTACTAATCCCTATTTCAAGCCATTCACATTTACAGTCAAGACTCAATAAACAAAAGAGAAACATGACCAGCCACAGAATCTCAGAGGCAAAAAAGTGTTAACAACAATACCCTGGAGGGGTTTCCAAGCCGTGGAGATGTGGTGTGAGGGACATGGGCAGTGGGGACCTGGCAGTGCTGGGAGAATGGTTGGACTCCAGGATCTTAAAGGTCTCTTCCAACCAAAACGATTCTATGATTCTTTAAAACCAAAGCAGAGCCATAAACCTGGACTAAGATGTGTACCCAAGGGAAAAAGGCAGGAGCAGGCAGCAGGAGCTGTCATGTATTAGCTTCCAGAGATGTAAAGATGAATTTCAGAGAGTTATCTACTTCAACTAGGACAAGCCTTTTAAGATTGTCAGGGTCTTACTTGAACACCACAATATGCCAGCAGAAGGAAGCTGGCTCAGCTGGCAGAAGACAGAATGGCCAAGGAAGTTCTCCCTGAATGTGCCAACCTCCTCTGGAGCTGACAGCACGGGGAGCACACAGCCAAGGGACCATCCAACAGGAACAAAGGTGCTGGGGCTGCAGTCTCAGCTTCTCCATTGCAGAGGAGCAGAGGGGAAAGCCAAGACCTTTGGGATGAGGTGAAAAGAGGATTTGGGAAAGCAGAAACTGAGTGATGAATCCCAGCCTGTAAAAACTAGGAAGACTCCTGAGAGGCTGGTGACCACCAGCAGCTCCTAGGGATGCTGTGAGACCCTCCAGCCAGACTCACACCAGCAGCACCAGGACGAGAGCAACATGAACTGACTCAAAGTTAGCAGCTCGTATGTGCAGGAAATAAGCTGCAATTTTCCCTTTATTTAGTCTTGGGGTCACCCTACAACCACCTTCCTGGTGTTCAGTGGTCAGACACCCCTGTCTAGAATAACCTCGAGGTGAGGAGAATAGAGATCCTATTCACTGAAGCTGCTCACAATATTTTGACTGTGGTGGTAAAGTGGGGAAAAAAAATGATGTGACCCTGATTTCCTGCTACAAACACAGCAGTGAAGAGGGGATAAACGTGGGGAAGAGAAGAAACACTTCAAGTGAAGCACAGCATGGACTGGTTTATCCAGGATGGTCTGAGGGGATGTTCCAGGCAAGGATCTGCCATCAGGATCAAGACCTTTCAGTAGACTTCATGAAATAGTTGGGAAGATGGACTAGAGTCCTCAGCTGCATGTGTTTTACCAGGTCTGGTGCAAGTAGCATTCAGGATCAAGGATTTGTGTGAGGTTCCCAAGGGAAAGCAGGAAGTTCTAGTTTTTCCCCAACAGGAGTAATGGGACAATGTAGGAACACTGACAGGATAATGAGGAGTTTTGGTCCATGAAAGGGATGTGGTTGCCTGTGAGAGTGGGGGTTCCCCTCAGTCATTCAGAAAATGTACATCCATGACTTCAGCTATTGAGATGTGCAGAGACAACCCTGCTCCCAGATTATCCCCTTTCTAAAATGAAAGCTTTTACTGACAGTTTTTGCTCATTTCACAAGGCAGATGGGGACAGCCCCCTGGTTTTGCTCCAGCTTCCCCACTTCCCACAGCAAACCACAACCAGAATGTTACCAGAGCATAATCCATCTGATTAAAGCTCTGCAGACTCGTCTCCACACACCCCCAGACTGCTATTACCCAAATGACCCTTGTCATGTGGAGCAGCTTCTTAAAACAACTTTCAGGAACCTCCTTTCATTACTACTTGAAGTGAGGCTTTAACATCATCCTCAGCAGAGTGCCAAGAAAATCTTCTATTTCTGCCCTACCAGAAGAAATAACTGGAAGAGTCAAGTCCACAGAGCAGCCTACAGACACAATTCTCTTCACTACTCAGGGGTGAGTATGGCCACTTAAATTAATAGCTCCCACTTCAAGTTTTTCTAGCAGTGTTTTCTCTCTGGCCACAGCATTTGCTAACAAATTATGTGCTATAATACCCATGGCAAAGGATAATTCCTTTATCTAAGATAAATCAGATCATTTCAGGTACTTATGAGAAAAAAATACAGAGGCATGTGTGTATGCACATGCAGATGTACCTAAAAATTTATCATTCTCTTACAAACCCAAGTTTTAGGTACATGATTTAAATTCCAACTCGGCCTTCTTTCAGAAGAGCATGAAAATTCTCCCCTGCTGGTTTTAACTTGGGAAAACTGAGGCAACTTTTGAGGTGGTTTTGCTCCTGTGTCTAGTAAAGGCTGACAGAGGGAGGAGCCTGCAGACACACACTAATGGATGGGAGAACCATGCCTCTTGTTTGAGAAAAACATTTCAAAAAGGCAATTAAGCATCTCTCAAGTGCCATTAAGAGCCAACCCCCTGCTGCCTGCCTGAAGAGTGTGTCTACAGTCTGAGACCTCTTGACCCCACTTTCTGCAGGAAATCAGGCAAATTCAGGCCTCCATAATTTGCTAAAGTCTTCCAGATTTCTGCTGGGGAAAAGCAAACCATACAGGCAATTAATTCAACAGCAACCTAATTAAATCTCCATTATGGCAGCAAAGCATGAAATGGATAATGACACAGGGATGGGTTCTCCCAGTCACTGCCCAAGAAACCAAGCAGTGAAGGAAAGTTTGCTCCAGTCCCAGTTTCATGAAGGCTCTTGATGGAAATTCACAGGAACTTGAACTCTCAGAGAGAAGAGGAAACAGCAACAGTGGAGTGACCATCCATCACCTCTCTTTAACAAAGTGCTGACACTCAGCTAGGGATAAGACAACCCTTTGCTCTCACCCCCCCAGCTAATATCATTAGAAGAGCCAGGGTAATTGATCTAAGATTAATTGGTTGTTTGCTCTGAGCCCGTTTTACGGGCCAAAAGGATCAAGTTCAAATGCCAGGTTCCTCCTACAAGGAACCTCACATCACTTAAGTCTCTCAGTCTTGGCTGTCCAACAGTTCTTTGCAGTTCACGTGAAGATCTGAAGTAGTGGGACCTGAAGGACAGTGAGGACTTAGCCTGAAGCTGGGGAGAGAGGAGAATTTGGGAATGGGAATGTGCACAGGGAGGGATTCACACTGCAGTTGTTCCAGGTGTGCTGTGCACGAGCTGCATGTGAAATGAGGCACCTTCCTTTCCTACAGATGCATCAAATCTTGCCCTCCCTCTTGGTCTTTAGAAACAACTCAGTTCTGTTACTGGAAAATCTGTGGACAAGGTACTGAAGGAACTGGGTTCTCATTATGTGTGATGCTTAGGGCTGGACTCAATGTGGAGTCCTCAGGTTCAAGTCTTAGAGGAGTTTTAAGCAGATGGTTCTTAGCAGGAGGCAGAAGTGAGATAGATGGGAGCTGCAGGCCACCAGTGAACACCACTGGACTGAGAGCTGGCCCATCATAATAAATGCTACAGCACCACAAAGGTGTTGGCAAAGTAACTAAGACAGGGTCCTAACCCAAAACTTCTTCTCTGGGTTGTACACTGAGTGCTACTGACAGAGCCTTGGACACAGAGCAGGGACAAACTGCACCACAGAACAGCCTCCAGGGAAAAAGCCTCTGGAAGCTGTCCTGTGCTTCAGGAGGGAGTGACAAACTTCCCAGCTATTGTCTAGGGGAAAAACTCAGCAACAGCACTTTAGAAGACTAAAACTTCACTGCTCCCATGAAAGAGACAGGGTTTTCCTCCCTGTGTGTTTTGTTTTCAACAGCCAGGCTGCCTGTTGTAACCACATATTAATGAAGCCACAGTTTGAACACCAAGAGCTCACTGCCTTTGAGAAGCACAGAGGGAAGGGCTACAAGGTGTTGAATTTAAACAGTAGCCCAGCAGCTCTGGTACATGTCTAAGCAAAACAGAGGTATCCCCTGCCTCCCTGGGTAAGGCTTTTTCAGCTGGCTTGTTCTGCATATCACTCTCACCTCAATGTGGTTTCAATTATGAATTACCAGACCTAAAAAAAAAAGGCCCTGATTTATTCTATTTTGCTCCAATTATTCATGATAAGTTTCTATGGAATACTTTGAGAAAGTATTTCATCATGCTTCCCATCCTCAAGTGGTCACAGGGCAAAGCCAGGGGAATTAACCCCCTCTGCTTCTCCTGAGCCAAGCACAGAGCTCAGGCTCTGCAGAACCACAAGCCAAGGTCTGGTGGGCAGCACTGCACGTTCTGATGGAGATGATAAAACCTCCTCCCAAAACATCTCAGCCACAAGACACACGGGAGTTCCCACCAGCTCCTTCTTGAGTGATGAAAGCTGATGCTGGTCCATGAATCATGGGGTTTGACTGCCAAAATGCATCCTGGAACTCCAACACTGGATTATTCAGTCACTTAAATCTAATCAGCCACCCGAGCCCCTCTGACTGATCACATTCTGTGATATAAAAACTCAGCTTCAGGCCCATCTCTTCGATTCCTTAATTTCAACAATGTGCCAAAGGAACAGATTTGCAGTGAGAAGAACAGAATTATCAAGAGCTGAGTTCATATTTACAGCTGCCATAATACTCTGGCTTTTTGGAATCCCTCCAGCAACTTTCTTGCCATTCATTTGTAAGAACAGTATTACAATTTAATAAGAACATTCAAATAATTTGAAAGAGAACTTGGAAAAGGATTCATGGCTTACTTGAACATAACCAAGTGCCCTGGCCTACTGGTACCAGCCTTCCACTTCCTCAGCAGGACAGGGGGTGAGCAGGAAAACAGCCCACTTCATAAATAGGGTTTTTTTTCTTTAGAAAAAGGCCAACAGTCTTTAGAGAGTCCATACAAACACCATCAAACCACCCTGATCACTTCCTCCATGCAACGTGCTAAGGATGGAATTAACTGTATGGACATTTATCTGCCCTGCACCCCTCACACACCCTCCTGCTGGAACAGGCCCCTGCCCTGTTATTCTTCTCTTTTTCCTGGGTAAGCTCAACATAAAGCAAGGAGACCTCCAGAAAACAGCCCTAAATCCCTATCAGTCCCACTTTGCAAGTGACATTGAACTCAAGACAGCCTTTTGAGAAAGGTGCAGCTTTGTCTTGTAAAGGAGGAACACATTCCACCCATCTGCAGTTACTTTGTCTTCTCATCCAAGCCAGAGGATGCAGTTGCCACCTGTGGCTACCTCAGATGTACCTTTGTACCTGCTGCCCAACCCCAATGTCTCACTCAGGCTCAGCAGGAAAAGTGCTGTGATGGGACATCAGGCAGGAGCTTCGAGGAGAAACATCCTTGGGCTCACATGGATCATTATTCCCCTCACCAGCAGACACCAACTGTGGCACTTAACTGGCTCAATCGTTTTAGTAAATAATTAAAGTAACTATTATTAAATTTATTGACTTAAATTTGCTGGCATATACTGTATATATCACCTTCTACATTGTCTGAAGTTAGAAATTAGCTGAGTCCTGAAAAATAAGTTCCCCTATAGACCACAAGTGTAATAGAGCTCAGAGAGATAAAATATATTCACAGAAAAAACCCTGTATAGTAATCTCAAAGATAGATCAGGGAAGGCTCCATTTATTTGCCTTGAATGAAAGAACAAGGTTCAAAACTAAACAGTATTAGCTGGTTTCAACAAAAAAAAAGAGCCTGCTGGAAGGAAATCTCACACGTGCCCAGAGTAGCTGTTGAATCCCCCACTTCAGGATATCACAGGGCTGTGTGCTGCTGTTCTACAAATTTAATAGCTCTTGAACAATTCCTGATCTGAATTCTGTTCTCTTTAACTGACCTGCTGAGGGAGGTCACGAGCAGTCTGTGTTGCTGGCTGATATGGAGCTCACCCAGCCCACAAAGGAACTTTTAATGACATTTCTGTTTCATCTCAAAGCCAGACATGAACCCATGCACATATTAAGCCATTTTCATCCACTACAATAAACACCAAACTCTTTCAGCTGGGACATAAAACCACCAAGGAACTGACCACTCGTGGCATGAAAGAGCCACGATAGGAGGTGTGAGCTCCAAGGTCCTGGACAGCTTCCAGCCTGTCTGCACTCAGCCTCCTCACCTTCCCTCCCCACTGCACGTGGGTGCAGCACTCCTGCCTGCTCCTCGTGCCCTCCTGTGCTCCTCCACAGCTTCAGAGCTCTGCTCCCTGCCTTGCTGTGGCTCTGGACATAAGCATTTTGCTTAAGAAACTCTGGGTTCCAGCTATGTATCAAAAAAAGAAAGAGGAAAAAAAGGAGCCTGCTTGCTGCTCAGAGTAAGATTAGCTTCCCCAGAAATGGACAGGTTCCCAGCAGATGAGAGAAGCCAGGATAGATGGTTTTACCTCCTCTTTAAAGACTGCCTGATCCTCAAGTCTTTTTTTTCCTGGCACTTGGTGTTTTGGGGTGCTTTTGCTTTCTCTAAAGGTGTTAAGATGTTCTGATCCTTCTTGGAGAGTACATACTTCTTACCAGGAAAGGCTGAGAGACCTGGGGCTGGTCAGCCTGGAGAAGACCCAGAGGGGATCTTCTCAGTGCTCATCACTATCTGAAGGGCAGGGGGCAAGAGGCTGGGGCCAGACTCTTCTCAGTGGTGCCCAGCGACAGGACATGGGGCAATGGGTACAAACAGGAACCCAGGAGGTGCCACCTAAACAGGAGGAGAAACTTCTTTGCTGTGAGGGTGCCTGAGCCTGTGTGAGGCTGCCCAGAGAGGCTGTGGAGTCTCCTTCCCTGCAGAGGTTTCAAACTCTCCTGGGTGCCATCCTGGACACCCTGCTGTGGGTGAGCTGCTGGAGCAGAGGGGCTGGAGATGATCTCCAGAGGTCTCTTCCTATCCTCACCATGCTGGGATTCATGTGCAGTTTAATTTCCTCCTTTAATACTCAGTAGCAGATTATTAATTCCTTTGGCTAAGCAGCAGAAAATCATGTTCTGAAACCCAGCCATGAGCTTCTGACTTTGTCAGCAACTGTTCACACTCCACTGGGCTGAGGAGTTTCAAGCTAAATGTGCTCTACTACTGAGCACTCCTACTCTAGCTTGCAGAGACTCTCTCTAAACCACCATCAAGTGAGACAGTTAACAAGTTCAGTTTTAATAGGAAAACAAAACTATTTTTTATATTTTGACACAGAGAAAATTAACTGATTATGAGTGAAAAATAATCTGCAGGCTTTTATGTAGGAAAAAAAATCAGAACCAGCTGCTTGGTGCAGAAGGTTAATTAATACTCCAGTGTTTCCTCTTAACAGAAGCAACTTCAACCAGTGAAATTCCTTTTTTTTTGAAGAAAAAAAATACTTTGGCCTAACTTTGATCATCAGTTTCTGTTTAAGATAAATTATACAGAAATAACATGGGGAAAATTGTAGGCATAGAACTAATTGGCTGTTTCATCCAAATTACATGAAAGAGCCTTGCAGGTTAAGATCTTCAGGATATCCACCAACTATTTCCACTGCAGTTATAAATTTTTAAGAGCACCAAATTCCACAGAAAGAAGTGTGTGCATATGCATGTGTGAAAAACAAATAGATGTGGAAACAAGCAAGCGATTTACCATGTGCAACAGCAACAGGGAAAAAAATTTGCATTTCACCACCAGGACATAAAATGAACTGCTAGGGTTGTTTTTTTTTTTTGCCAGTTGTCATAAAATTTATCAGCTTCATCTGTGCACGTTCCACACACAGACACCAACACACCAACACAGAGTTACTACCGACTCTCACAGCACAGACCTTTTATAGGAGGGGAGAAACCCCCACCAGCCCAACCCCCCGATTTGTTTTATGAGTGAATCAAAGGAGCTGACTCACCACAGCTGGGGGATCGTTCCACTCCTCGTAGGAGATGGCAGCATAGGGGTAAATCCTGTCGTTGATGATCTGGAGGGTGGCCAGGGCGATGGCCTTCATGGAGCGGAAATAGGCCTCCCAGAACCAGCGCGCCTGCGGAGGGAAAGGGCTCAGCCCAACTGCACACAGCCCCTGCCCAGGCTGCTCAGCTGGAAATCACATTAGGAGGTAGGACATTTCCAGGGAGCCTGAAGGCTTCAAACTCAACACCACCACCCCCCAAAAAAAAAGGCTTTACAGCCAATAAAAAGCAGCAGCAGCATGAGTTCTCAAGTGATGAAATGGACAGAGAACACTCCAAGGAATCAGGTACTTCCAGGCTGTTATCAGATGTTTTCCTCCTGAAAACAAAATCAGACCCCATTCGACCACAGAACAGAACTGGTTACATGCAGTTTTTCCAAGGCAGAAGAACTCACAGAAGGGTTAAATGGCCAAATACAAGCATCCAGCCTGAAAGGTGGAACTTGGAAGCTGCTTTTTCACATCAATGTTGTAAGGACAGCTGATCAGCTTGAGAACTCCAGCACTCTTGAACACTGTCAAACCAACAGCTTCCCAAGTCTTCCAAAAACAACTACTGTTTATACAGGTAAACAGGAAGATTTTTACACAAAAGCACATACATACAGGTGCTAATTTGTTACAGTTGTTAAGCCAGGCTAATTAACCCCACAGGCAGTGTAAAACTGCTGAAATGAAGCACGTGCACTGAATTCCATGGACAAGCTGCTCCTTCAGGTCCTGCAAAGGAAAAGTTTTAATCTTGTCCCAGTTTCTGTGTAAGTCAAGAACATTGGGAGAAAAGCAGCATTTGGGAAATGAAAATGGTGACTTGGCTGAGTCTCTGTGAGGGACATGAACATATTTTTTAAATGCCTAGAACCATCAGAAGATCCTGTAGGACTCACTCCACCAAACCCAGAAGGAGACAAGGCTTTGCCAATAGACAAGAAACTGTTTGCCAATGAACTACAGTTCAAGCATTTTGGCCCAAGGGATCTGCATTTTTTCAACCATAAAGTTTTCTTCAGCAATCTCCAGCACCTTGAAGTATCATTAAGTCATTTAGGTTAGAAAAGACCTTTAAGATCATCAAGTCCAACTGTTCCCCCAGCCCTGCCAGGTCCCCACTGCCCCGTGTCCCTCACACCACATCTCCACAGCTTGGGAACCCCTCCAGGGGTGGGGACTCCACCACTGCCCTGGGCAGGGGATCATGTCCAGTTAATCTGCAGTCTCCCTGCAATTCAGTATCAACCAGAAGATTGTTTGCATCTAGGTTGTAAAACAATTAAAAGACTTCAGAGATATATATTTTATATATATATATAATTGGAAGCTTAAGAAGCTTTCAAAGCCAGAATACAACAGAATGCAGCATAAAAATTTGGCCAAGTCCTGTTTTACTCTTGGTTTGGATTCCTTAAGCAGCACAAAGGCTCCACAGCCAGGTTGGTTTTAATCACATGCTATGCAACTATTAAATAATATTATATTGATGATTTAGATTATGATTATATAAATAAGATTATGTAAGCTTTGAAGGAATACCAAGCTTTTGGAGGCACAGCCTTTTAAGATGAGCCAAAACTAAATTTTTTAGCTGTTAAAATCTGCCAGTGTGCCTTTTTGGCAGGCTGTGACTGTTCAATAGAAGACAGTGAGTGATTCCTACATGTACAAGTTGTGCTGGAGTGTTCCTGGGCTGACTACCAGTGTACAGGAAAGATTTACAAACAGAGAAAAAGAAAACTCACAACCAAGCTTGCACATATTTGTACCTATACTACCCTGTACTTTGAGTGTAAGCTACAGGGATTCAGAAGTAAAAGACTTGTAGCCAAAACACTGGCCTGAAAATTCTACTCTGGGAGTAGTTTGTAAAACAGGTTCTTCAGAATAGCCCTGTTAAATACTAAAGATGAAAAAAACCAACCATGTTACAGTTGAAAAAGCAAACTAGGAAAGAGACAAGTGCTCTCTGGAGCACTGCACTTACTGTGAGAAAACACTGACAACCACAAGCTTTACTACTGCAGAATTTGATTAAGTAATAAAGAAGAATATGGCCAAAAATGACACTTCTCTGGAACTTGTCATCCAGAGAGTGTACACAGCAATTTCAGAGCAGAAGAGAACTGCTTCCCTCTCTTCACTTCTCTCCCTGGGAGGATTTAACAGCTGGCTAACAGGCAGATGACCAAGAACAGGCAATGAAATGAATATCACATCCAAGTGCAAAAGCAGGTAAGGATAAATAATGTCAGCCTTCCTAAAATACCAAAAAGACACTAAATAAAGCAAAGGCCACATGCTAAGCAGACTTAAACATTCCCTTCCCTGTGCCCTGTTCCTCTAGAAAAATGTGCTCTCCAGAACTCAGTAGCAAGTGATTTAAAAAGGAAACCAGAAGTAGATTAAGAACTAAAATTGACCACAAGAGTGAACCTCTCTATTAAAGAACCCTAAATAGACACGAGTGAGAACAGGGACTTCAAATTCCATTTTGATGTCAGGTAACAGTTCAGAAGCACTGCTACCAGCAGTACTAAGTGGGAAGGAGAAACACTTATGTAGCCTTTTGACCTATAATTTTACACAGCAATTAAGGAGCTATTTATTGCATGAAATACACAAGGGATGTGTATCTCACTGTTAGTACATTATATATATGCTGCTCTAACTTCAAAATTATTGATTAATACTGTAGGAGCTATGATTATCTAGCTGTGTAACAATCCATCAACACCATTCTTCCTCCTTTAGCAAAAACAGAATGGATCTAATCTAGCTTTTCTCTGCTGAAAGAACATTTGCAATGCCAGGCAAGATTACACCTTTATAGCAGAAACAAAACTGGAGAGGAGGGCAGAGGGAATTTTTTTTTTTTATAGGATAATATTTATGCAATTGATTTTTTTGTAAAGAGCTAGAAAATGTTCCCACAGTTGGTTGTAATTTCTCGGAGTTGTGTTTCTTTAAGGCAGAACCCAAAACCTTCCAAGGGGATTCCAAGTCCCCAAACAGATGTTTCAGGGTCTCATGACTTCCTCCCCACCTTGTTTGCTTTTACAGAGCAGAACTGATGAACACTGCGTGCTGGTGTCTGCTGCTCAGCATGCCATGCTCCCAAACATTTTGGGAAAGTTTTCTGCTGGGGAGATGTGTCTCCACTCCATTTGAAATGTATTTTCTGCTCTGCTTGGTGTGGTTGAAAAGCCTGTGGTGGAATGTAGCAAATGCCCAGAGGGGATGGGAAAAAAATCCCATGAACACGTTTGGGATACAGGAAAGAGAAACAACAACAAGAAGAAAGATTTGTTCCTGTCTCCTGTGGCAGCTCCCTTGGCTCTTCCATAGTTTTTGTCAGCTGTCCATATTTAAGAATTCAGATCTATGAATTCAGAAGACTAATGGTTATATAGGGTCTGGTATACAGTCTGGTATATACTAATGGTTACACATGGTCTGGTAATTTTAACATGCTAATTAGAGCTACTTGAAAGCCTCTGAGGATGTTGAAATAAACCATAATTAAAGATCTACATTGATTATACACAGTCTACAACTCTGATATGGCCAAGCCACCACTGCTCTCAACCTGGGTGCATTCAGAAGTGTTGCCAGCCAGCAGGTTGAGGGAGATTCTCCTCCCTCTCTACTCTGCCCCAGTGAGGCCACCTCTGGAGTCCTGCATCCAGTCCTGCGCTCCCCTCACCAAGAGAGACAAAAAGGGAGCCCACCTCTGGAGTCCTGCATCCAGTCCTGGGCTCCCCTCCTCAAGAGGGACAAGGAACTACTGGGGAGAGTCCAGCTGAGGCTACAAAAATGCTGAAGGGCCTGGAGCATCTCTGTGCCCAGGAAAGGCTGAAGCCCTGGGGCTGGTGAGCTGGAGAAGAGGAGACTCAGAGGGGATTGATCAGTGCTCATTAATACCTTAAGGCAAGCAGATGGGGTCAGACTCCTGTCAGTGGTGCTCAGCAACAGGACAAGGGGCACAAACTGCAACTCAGGAGGTTCCACCTAAACATAAGGAGAATACTTTTTCCTCTGAGTGTGCCTGAGCCTGGAGCAGTTGCCCAGAGAGGCTGTGGAGCCTCCTTCTCTGGAGAGATTCCAAACCTGCCTGGATGTGATCCTGGGCAACATGCTGTGGGTGACCTGCTGGAGCAGGGGTTTGGATGAGGGGATCTCCAGAGGCCCCTTCCAACCTCCACCATGCTGGGATTCTGTATTGATGTACCTCCACAAGCACATACTCACCATTTGAGGAACACCAGCAACATTTGCAAGACAGAAGAAAAAGCTTAGAAATTTTGTGCAGTTTTCTTCCTCAAAATTGTAGATGGTACATGAAATTTTGCATTCCTTCAGCCCAGTGAGCAAACTTCTGAACTAAAAGCTCAGTTCCACTTGTTTTCAGTTCCAGGACTTTGTCCAGATGGACCCCAAAGAAAATAAACTGAGAATATTCAAGCAGAGACTGGTCCAGGCAAGAGCTTGGGATAGAAGCATTTGCCTTTATCTTCCTAGGAGACAACAGGCAGCAGGACACAGCAACGGGGCAGCCTCCTCAGAAAAGCACATTTATTTAGCTAAGGTGTTATTTTCCTTGGAAATAAACACACTCAGGGGCCTAGCATCTCTTTATAAGCTCTTTACAAGCCAGCACAGCATCAGGTTACAAAGTCCATTCATATAATGTTTATAAGTTCTAGTGTTAATGCCACTAATGGTGCTCGGCGTGGAGTGCGAGACAGATCAACGTAAATCTTTTGATTAGTTTGTGCAAAGAAAAACACTGGGCATGAGGCAGGGAAAGGAATACTTGCTGTAGCAGTTAGATCATGGGGAAAACAGCCCACGAGAGGAACCGTGCAGCCTCCTGCCTTTTGCAGCCCGTGATTTGCTGGGAGTTGGTAAAGTTTGCAAGAAAAGGGGGGGGAAAAAAGCCCCTCCAACCCACAGGGCAAGACTCGCAAGAGAGCAGTAAAAGTTAACTGCCCATAAACCACCTCTGCTCTCAGCTCTCAGGCCAGGCGCCGTGGTGCTGTAAGTCCTGTCCCCCTGCAGGAGCTCAGTGTTTCCAA